GTTCACTAGTGTTAAGTACATTCACATTGTTGTGCAACGAATCTCTAGAACACTTCTCATCCTGCAAAGCTGAAACTCTGTACCCATTAAACAACAAATCCCCAGGACTCCCTTCCCCGCAGCCTCTGGCAACCAGGATTCTACTTTCTGTGAACTTACCTACCCTAAGTACCTCCTATGAGAGGAACCATACAGTATCTGTCTTTTTGTGACTGGCTTATTACACTGAGCATAATGTCCTCATGGTTCACCCATGTTATAGCATGTGTCCAAATTTCCTTTCTTTTAAGGCTGAATGAGGCAGTGTATGTGTATACTCCATTTTGTTTCTCCACTCATAGGAGGATGGGCACTTGGGTTGGTCCTGCCTTTTGGCTATTGTGGATAATGCTGCTATGAACGTGGGTGTACAGAGGAGAGTGACTGCTAACCTTTCACGTGCATAAGAAACCTAAGCAACCTGTTAAAAATGCATATTCTGAGGACCCATCTGCCCCTTTTGATTCCAGTTCAGTATGTGTGGGGTGGAGTTTAGAAGCTTTTAAGCACTTCAGGTGATTCCAATGTGGGTGGACCTCCGCGCCTAGGAAGTCACGTTGTGGGATCACACCCCTTGGGCACTAGAGTGAAATCTGGTTTGCACTCTCTGTCACCTCCTTTAGTGACACACACATCATGAAGAGGACAGAGGTTGGCTTTGTGCTTCTTCTCTTCTTTTCTCAGCATAGCTAACACGTTTAAAAAAAAAAAAAATCTTTCCAAGCTTCTTCGAGTCCTTAACATCAAGGGGACGTGAAGTAAGTGGTAACATATAGATTAGTGTCCAGCCATGCTTAGAATGGCTTTTGAAAAGGGCAGGAAGAATCCTTTCAGGATCAGGCATGAGAAGTCCTAAAACAAATATGTGCTGGACCACAGTGCCAAGCTCATCCAACTTGGGAAGTGCTTTGCCTCTGCCAGAGAGAAATTAGGAAGGTTCTGTTAAGGGAAGAATGAGAAAGAATGATCAGAGTTTCTATGGTTAAGTGAAAGGCTTCACTGATTTGCTGATGAAGAAATATATGTGCGCTACAAGTATTAGCACCAGATGATGTAGTCTGAGAGACAGGTGTCCAATGCTGGAAGCTAAGTCAGTAACCTATTTATCAGTAAATCTGTGTCAGACGTAACAGTTGGCTTGCTGTGTGACCCTGGGCTACTTATTTGATCTTGCTGACCCATACTTTCCTACCCAGTAAATTGGAAGTGATCTTCAAACTGTTACAAGAAAGGCTGTTTCTGAAGCATCATTCACTGATGTGCTGGCTGCCCACTGATGTTGGTGTGTACAGATGGGAGGTTAAAGATTTCTGAGGACAAGCTCAGTTTCTACAGTCGATGTTAAAATACTGAGATATTGCGAGGTAATGACCATAAAATCTAACCACTTAGTAGAAGGATAAAGGCTATAGTGGTCGGATTTATGGTTATTATTTAGGCCGTGAGCTGTAAGTGCCCATGGGCACACACGTCTGTGGGCATGCGCAGCTCACAGGCGGGTGATGAATGAAGACACTGAGACACGTGGATAGAAAATCATGTATTACACACTAAACACTCATTCTCCCTGAATCTAAACAACATGATAAAATACTAATGATTTTGATCCTAAATATCTCATTTTATGACAAACTTATGACAAGAGAGCCCAACATATTTGGTCAATGAGAGGCAGCCTAATTTCCAGAACCTTTTATATCTCTAATTCTATAATTCTGTATAAAGATACAGATGTCACAATGGCCATCTTGATGAGTCTTAAGCAGTACAAGATGTCACAGTGCTTTTGGGATCTTTGGAAAAGATTATTTCATTTGATTCACTAACAGTGTTAAATCTAGCTAATTACTTCCTAATTATTTAAATTGATGAACGTTTATGGTATATATTGTGATTATTAATTAACATAGAGCTTGCAATTCAACTGAAACAAAATAATAGCTTGCTTCTGCGGGGTAACTGGGGAAGCAAGAGAGCATACAAGTTCATAGTTCAAACTCCAGCTTTGCCATTTACTAGTTGAGCAAGGAAATATTTGAGCGAATTACTCAGCCATCCTGTGCCACCATTTCCTGATCAGTAAATTGAAAAAAATAATGGCCCCTACTAATGGATAAGATGGGTTAAAATGTATAACGTGCCTCGAATAGTATCTATTATATAGTAATCACTCAATAAATGTTAGTTTATTATTACTATTGTTGTTATCATAGCATTTTCCAGGTTGCTTAGTACTTTTACCTACATTTTTTCATTTCAGCCTCATGACAACCATGTAAATTAAGTAAGGCAAATGTCATAAACAAAGAAAGTGAGGGTAAAAAGAGTGACTGGCTCATGGTCTCAACACTAGTAAGTGTTGATAGTAGCACTAGACCCCACATCTTTTGACTGATAATCCATCTCTCTCACCATACTCTGGTGTCTCCTTCTCAACCATGCTGAATAAATGGGTGCTATTATAGCAAGGTTTTCTCTCCCTGGGATATTGTCTCCTTAGCCATGCATTCTTAGGGTTCCAGGTTAAAGTCAAGAAGCTGAGAGCATTCTGGCTTTTGAGATCAAGGATCATTTTACTAACATCAAGCTGTACACCAGCCTCGTAACATGTCTCAATGCCTAGAGCAAAGGAGTCACATTCGACAAAGGTTTGTGTGGACCACCATCTTTTCATAATGGCTAAGTCTTTTATGATATCATTCAAGTTCAGTGCCTTCCCAAATCACGCTAATAAGAAATGTTAGCAGAAAACATGAGAGAATTGAACCTGTAAATGAGAACTCTGTACCAAATTCTGAGATTTTTTGTTTCCAAAGTCTCATCCAGGGATCTTGAATTATTCATTGGGTTCTTGGTATCTTAATGGTGCAAAGCACCCTCCTGTTAGCTCTGGGAAAATCCTCACAAGAAGCAAATAGTTCTGATGTCTTAGCAACAGGATATGGTTTAGATTCATAATTGCCCTCCCCTGAATCTGGATCAAATTATTGGAAGGTGAATGATCCGGCTGTATAGACTGTACTGACATTAGAAAAGAGAGCTCTGTTAATACCAGATGGCCTTATCTGTAGATAAAGAAATGCAAAGCTGGCTGGGTGGCTCACGCCTGTAATCCTAGCACTCTGGGAGGACGAGGCAGAAGGATCCCTTGAGCTCAGGAGTTCGAGACCAGCCTGAGCAAGAGTGAGATCCTGTCTCTACGAAAAACAGAAAAATTAGCCAGGCGTCATAGCACATGCCTGTAGTCCCAGATACTCAGGAGGCTGAAGCAAGTGGATGACTTGAGCCCAGGAGTTTGAGGTTGCTGTGAATTAGGCTGACGCCACAGTACTCCAGCCCAATCAACAGAGCAAGACTGTCTCAAAAAAAAAAAAAAAAGAAAAAGAAAAAGAAATGCAGACTATAAGAGAGCTGTATGATCATTGTCCAGAGAGATAAAATGAAAGAGAAATACAAGCCAAAAATGGTTTGAAATATCCACCTCTATTTTATAGAACCTGGATCTACTAATGTTCTTCAGCTCACATCTTGCAATTGTTTACTTGGATTTTAACAATAGATTAGCTAGTGAAATTCAACTTTGAGATGTAGTCATCTGACCAAATAGTATCATAACTAAATTATAAATTTTAACTCATGAGAATTGCCTTTTGTTGTCTATCCTTTCAATAATATTTAAGGAAATAAGTATTTCTAGGTTATCTGAGGGATTTTTGAGACGGATGCAAAATATCAGTCTGTGCTTTGTCCTTTGGCCCCAGGAGCTGGGATGAAATCACATGATTTAATCACTGTGAATCCATGTGGCTCCTCTGAGATAGGGCCAGATGTAACCAGAAGGATTTATAGGGTGTAAAATTTAGAATGGATTAGAAAAGCCTTTCTGTGTTCAGGCCAGCACATCCTAAATCAACGTCCCCTGAATGGACCAGAGCAATCCCTGGCTGGCCTAGTGGGGAGGTTGTCATGGCAACTGACTGGCAAGCTCAGCCAGTGGAATGTGAATGCAAACAATAGAGTGATAAGATTGTGTACAGAGCAGCGTGCTAAGGCCGCTTCTGCCCAGGTACAGTGACACATCAGAAGAAGTATAAAACTGTCACTGCATTTTGTACCGTCACACAATTCTGGCAGCTCATTTGAAATGTATCAAGTGTCCATCCCCAGATGTTGGTAAAAAACATTGCTGCTGATGGATAACAGAAGCTATGGGAAAATCAGCACCCAGTTGGTAAGTGCAATGGTATAAAAAGCTCTGGAGGGCTGTTACGATAACAGTACTCAGAAATGTCCTAAAGGAGGTTGAAACAGGCTTACGGCAAATCCTATGATTCTTTAGTGCCACCTTGTGTCCTTAGATATTGAAAATTTACCACTCTCAGATCCATCACTGGGCAACAGCAGGGCAGGCAGGGAAAAAGTTGCAGCTGGATTATGTTGGAGCTTAGTAGTCTCTTTTGCAGCAGAATATGCACATGAAATCTTTTGAGCCTCCAGTTAATGAAAAAAATAAAATTAATAATTTTGATAGAATCTACAATTTGGAAAAGAATGCCACATAATACCAGTCCTAGGAAAGATTGCAAGAGGCTACATGATGGGCAGTGGGTGGGAGAAAGGTAGCAAAGACAGAGAATTCTTAATGTTGTCATTACTAACTCTTGGAAAGGATTTTTTAAAAATTCTATTCAGGCATGCTGGTGACATAAATTAATTGATAGAGAAAAATGTGAGTATCACTGATTCCACTTTATAACTCTTGTTCATGGTTAATGGGTAGAGATGGTAGCATTTGCTCAAATGGCACCTCATGCCCACTTCTCATCTCTTACCCACACCAAACCCACGTCCACTGCTGGCTGGCCCACCATCAACTTATCACCATTCAAAACCACAATCCAGTCCTAATTAATTTCAGAAACATGAAATGACCAAGTTGTGTTTCTGTGTGTTTCTTCCAGGGTTTGAGTTTTTTGAAACAAGTGCCAAGGATAACATTAATGTCAAGCAGACATTTGAGCGCCTTGTGGATATCATCTGTGACAAAATGTCAGAGAGTTTGGAGACTGATCCTGCCATCACTGCAGCAAAGCAGAACACAAGACTCAAGGATACTCCCCCTCCACCGCAGCCCAGCTGCAGCTGCTAATGTCCCCAGACACATGGGTAGCTCCCGGGGGGCTCTGGTTGCTAACAAACAGCATTTATAAATGGTCTATTAGCCTTTGTTTATACTGCCTGTAATTATTTGAAGGAAGTCTGATTCAATGGCTCGTACATGCATTCAATTCTTGGGAGATTTCCTGTGTTAATATGTGGCAAATATGTGATCTTAAATTTGTAAGGACTATCCACCTATAAACATGTGGTACTTGCATGTGACTTGTTATTTGTCTTCTAGGCTCTTTTTGTTTCAGATTTCTTCTCAGGCTACTGCTAGGGGCCTCAGACTATAATTTCACTACAACTGACTTTTGTGCCATCAATTCAAATTATGCTATTCACTTGTAGGGATGATGATCAAGGAATTGCTTATGTGAGTGCGTGAGCAAGGGGAGATGTCAGGAGACTTCATTTGCTTTACTCATAACTGAAAATCACTGGAAACTTTGCTCATGGTTAGGGACACTGTCATGGGTCTGGTCAGTGCTGTTAGGAAATGTATTTTTCACTGTTATTAATAACAAGAGATTATTGACTATAAAGAAACTGAAATACTGTTTTTAAGCCCCTTGCAAGTTTCCTAAGTCATTAATATTAACCTGATTGGAACTAGGTTTAAACAATAATCCTAGCTTACTCGTTTATATAAGTAAATACTCTATTCCCAGGACTGCTCTTTCTGCTGTTTCTACCCAACTCTCTGAATATTTGAGAGCATTGAACAGATTGAAAGGTATCTACTGAATGCCAGTTATTCGGCAAGCATTTTAACCAAGCAGGAGGGTATGGGTAGTGGTAGAATTCCAAGGCCCCTCAGTCCCTCAATGACTTGCCCCCTGTAATACACACCACCACTGCCACCATCACTTTCTGGAACCATCACCAACTCTTGGAATAGAGATTATATTGAAGCTCGTTAGGGCTCCTCTTCCCATAGGATGTAGACCTGCTTCCCCAGCCATTGCCTTCTGCTCAAACCTCAGCTAAGTTCTTTTTACCTATTTAGAAGCTATTTGAATAATATCTCAAAGAATCCCAAGTTGAGGGAAAGAAACTTTTCATCTTTCATCTTTTGTAATCCAAATGTTCATAAATTCTAAAGCATATCCCCACATGTGCATGTTTCAGTTACACAGAAAACACTCTTTGTAGCTGAGAGTTACAGAAACACTTAGGATCTATAGCAATTTGAGAGAGGGAGGAAACCATTTGGACATCCTGATTTTTTATCCCAGATTTCCTGAAGATATGTATGAATAACAAGCAAACAACAAATCCTACTGATTGTGTTGAGCAACAGGGAAACTTGGTTTCTGTATCACTGCCCAGCGCTATTTACAGCTACGATTTGAGGAAGGCAGTGGACACTGGCATATTCAGAAGGACAGTTCCTTTAGGTGAACTTTCTCTTTTTTTGGTGTTGTGTTAAAGGTTTTTTAATTTCTCTTTTCAAAAATAGAGAAGCTTCACGTCAAAGTAGTGGGTGCAAGTTTAATGTGAAAGGGTATTGAACATGCATACATCTGAAGATATCTCTAAAGAATAGAAGCCTTCAAATCAGGGAATCAGCTCACACACATTATCAGTAAAAAAGATAAAAATTAGAGGAGAAAGCATTTGGGATGTTTTAAGTATATTCATGTTATTTGTCACCTTCTTGGTTTAAGATCAGCTAATTGGCAGTACATTTCCACTTCGACACCCTGCAAGACAAGCCTTAGTTTAGTGAATACGAGATAACGTTAACGCTTTATTAGATTTTAATGGGACAACCAGCTTCAAAGTCACAGAATTTACAGTAAAGAGAAAGAGAGAAGTTGAAGCATAAAAACAGATTTGTTCGCAACTGTAGCCTGTTTGCATGATGTTGTAATATTTCTATAACCCAGGTCAGAATGTTAAATGATGTAGCTATTAAGCTCACCTTTATGATCTAATAGGAAGCAGTAAAGCCAGGATATTCTTCCCATCCTCGCGCAGCCCTCATCCCACACATCCATACAGATGTAAAAGGCCTAGATAGGACGTTTCAGATGGTTTTTGCAAAAGGACCTGGATGTGTGTCTTGTCGTAAAATGGAAAGCAAATGAGACAGGATAGAAAAGGGAAAAGGAAAGAGCCGAGTTTTGCTCTCTTGAAAATCCCTTCCCTGAAGAACTGATTGCTACTGAAATTCATTGGCCCTTGAACCAGACGTAAGCCAAGTGCCCACTTACACGGCGTCAAATGTGCCAAAGCTGAGCCATTTTATGCCAGTCAGGGGAGAGTTATGCAACAACAGCCGAAGCATCGTGGCCAATGAACATTTGATACTTTCTATTTTCCAAACCCCAGTGGAAGTGAATGAACCCTTTTTAATTGGTTCTCAGTTCTGAAACTCCCACCTGTCGTGAACTCCACTCCAAATAATTCACTGAGAAGTTTCTGGAGACAGTGTCACAGAGCTCAAGAGAAAGAACATCTATGTTCCTGCTGGAAAGGACATAGGAAAAGGGAATATTCTCTATTCCTAATCTCCTCAAGAAATCCTGGTTTTAAAATCAAATTTGGCAAATAGAGGAACTGGCCCAGGGTTAACTAAGTGAGCTTTTATTGGCATTGAGTTATGTTATTTATAAATTATAGCACCATAGTCCCAAGGTTTTTTGACCTTTTGGCCACTACATACACACACACGCACAGACACACAAAATACATCCATCTACTAATGGTTTAAAAATATGCAGGTCATTTTTACCAATGACCTAACTAAATTTGTATTTAAAATAGCAACACACCTTAAAAAGTGTATTATTTCTGTTAGTTTGTAACTCTTAGACATCCATCTAAGACAAGGGTCGTTTATGCAGTTAGATTAGTGTTTTAAGTCTGAATTTCTCTTCTACTGCTACTCATCACCTGACCACCCTCACCTGTTCAAATACTCTTGGGGCTAACCCTGTTTCAAGCAGATGCTTTCAAGAGCTTTGGTGCTGGTCCCTTCCTTTCCTTTCCTAATGCTGTTGAAAAATTGCACCAAAAATTGTTTCATCTAAATAGCCATCCTCGGAGTGAATCAGCATTTTGGCTTTTGGGCGTGTGGATGGAGGTAGAAGGTGCACAAGGCAGTGTCTTAAGTCCTAAGGTGGCAGTTTAAAGTGAGCACCACATCTACGGGCTGAGAAGAAGAATTGCTTCAGGACAATGAATCCGTTCATTGTTGCTGCTCCTACTGAACATAGTCTACCACCTTGATGAACTTCTAATGGCTATGAGAACCCGGAGGTTGCTGCAGTTCATTTTTAGGGTCACTTAGAGCTCGGTATGCCTTTGTTGCCTGGTAGACAAGTGCTAAGATTTTTCTTTGGAAAGGGAGCTATGCTGGTGCCCCCAGTTGTAGCAGAAAGCTGCAGCACTGTGATGATCAATGTGAAATATAAATTCTGCAAAATTGCCACCCAGGCTGGGCGCGGTGGCTCATGCCTATAATCCTAGCGCTATGGGCAGCCGAGGCAGAAGGATCATTTGAGCTCGGGAGTTTAGGACCAGCCTGATGAAGAGCGAGACCCATCTCTAGTAAAAACAGAAAAATCAGCTGGGAGTGATGGCACATGCCTGTAGTCCCAGCTACTCGGGAGGCTGAGGCAGGAGGATGGCTTGAGCACAGGAGTTTGAGGTTGCTGTGAGCTATGATGACATCACTGCACTCTACCCAGGGTGACAGAGTAAGACTCTGTCTCAAAAAAAAAAAAAATTACAACCCAAATTATACAAGACATCAAGGCACTCAATAAAAAATTACGTATTTTACCTACTTAACTCTTACCCAGATTAATTATGGGCCTTTTGTTTAGCACATTGGTGATTTTTTGGAAACCAATTTAAACATTCAGTTTTAACTGTATCTATATTGATAATAGACTTTCAGGTATACAACATTCTCCTTCTTTTTTAAAAGTAAAATACATACCCCTACTAAGTGAACTTCCAGGAAGCAACATTAATTTTAGAGCGTGGTAGTCCATAATCAGTGGTTCATTGTGATGTGCTTTATCCAACATGTATCTTAGTGCATGTACGACATGATCTTTTAGTTAACCATGTGACATTTGTGGGACTATATTAAAAACATATCCAAGCTGTGCCAAGCTGAGGTAGCATCTGCATGTGAAAAACTGTGATACAACTTCTATTTTAAAGTCACGACTAGACCAAAAAAGTTACCGTGTGTTTGTTAATAACCTTCATAGTACTATCGGAATGCTCAATCAGGTGTTTTTGGTGTGGCATACTTGGAAGCCGGCCTGTCTGTCTGAAGAACCCTTTCTCTCTAAATTACAGTTTGCATGACTACAACCTGGAACTCCGTTCCCATGTGTGCATACTCACTCGGTGTGCTATGTCTGCTATGTCAAGGTGCCCCAGGAGCAACTAGACCCATGTGGTGTTTCTAATCCCTTCCTGAAACATGAAATCTCTATAGCTCTGCTCAGCTCTTCCTGTTTGCATATGCTACCTGTGTTTTAGTAGTTTGCCAGTAAAGTGATAAAGACTTTCTGATGTGCTGAACCTTTTAGTATCAGAGTCAGATTTTTGGAGTTCTTCATAGTTTAGGTGAATTTTTGACCAAAGTCAGTTAAAGACATAAACCTATTTTATATCCTGGAACTAACTGGGACAAATTGGGTAAAAGATGAAGTTTAGGACCAGAAAGAAAAAAAAAAAAATCTTTACCCCTAGACTGCACTTAAAGGGCTCTAGGTTCTAGAAATACAGTATGCCCTAAGGGGGCAAAAACGAGTTGGAGGAATTTATCTAAAATGTATCTACCTATTGTTACTGGTATTTCATAAATAAATATAATTTTTTCTTAAAAACCTTTACTGAAATGCTTGATACTCCAGTCAAATAATATTTCCCCCTGGTAGATTGAAATATTTATTCTTAGGCTACACATACAGCACTGCCCTTCCCAACACACACTTACTCACCTGGTACAGAGGCATCAGGTAAATACCGATACCTTTTTTTAATGAAAGGAAAATTCTATCTATGGTGCTTTCTCCATGCTAGGGAAAAGGGAGCTTTTGCTATGTTCCAACTATAACTCATATCTTATTTAAAAAGGTCCATGAAATAGGTTTGATTTGATTTGATTAGTCAGTGTATCTGTGCACATAATTAATGCCCATTAAACAGAGAGAATGGAGAGAAAATACATTTTTTGCAAACATT